TTTCTGTGGCAGGCTCCGGCGGTTTCGAGCCTCGGAGGGCGTCGTCCTGTCGTCGCCCTTGCGCGCGGCCTCGGCGCACCCGCTGGGCCGCAGCACTGCGGCAGATCGCCTCCGCCGCGAAGCAGCAGCCGCACGGAGTGCATCTACGGTGCCACTGTGAGCTTGCAAGCTCGCGGAGTTATCTGCGCGCCTCCACACAGTGCTCGCTGTCGCTAGCATATCCATGGATCACCCTAGATTTGAGCGCGAGCCGAAGCCGGTAGCTGTGGTACCGCTTGGCCTGGGAATTATAAAACTGTATAAGACAGTGGCTGCGCACTCGTGGCGGGGCGCCTAGCGCTGCCGCTTGTAGAGGGCTTCAGCGGGCTAAAGCAGCAATGCCTCTAAGGCAACCTTCTATCTAAACCGAACATGCTAATCTGGCATGTGGCCCCATCGATATCACAGGCCGTCAGAACCAGAGGGAGTAGTCGGCAGCAGACGAGGCAGGAGGAACATGCAAACAGGAAGCCAACGGCCGAAATCGGCGGCAACGGGACCGATGGGAACCCACCCACGCTAGCCCCGCACGGCCGGCTTCCGAGAGACAGTATGGGAAGGCCGCCTCTGGCGACAGCGTCCACTGAGCGGTCGCAAGCAGGGGCTGCCCCACGGCGCTCTTCTGCGGGAGGCACAAAGGCGGGGCAGAGAGGATAACCGAGCAAGATTCGAAGAGCGGGCTCCGACGGCGAGATGCTAGGAACGGCTGGGCACCCAGACCATGCCAGCCAGCGATGTACAGCGAACCTCAGGCAGCTGTGGGGGGAAGGAGATTGATGCTGCAAATGGAAAGAAGAGTAAACGCCACAAGCACAATTGTTTGACGCTCCGCGCGGATTTCTTGGATCTGCGCTGGACCCCTCTCCCTTGCGCGCGGAGCGCGCCATGGGCGGCGCCGGAGGTGCCGCCAGGGGGCCCCAGCGCGGATCCGAGAAATCCACGCGGACCTGCGAGCTCGTATGCTTATCTCATTCTGCGTTCCCTATCGAGAGATGGGAAGACACAGGAGAGGAGGAGCTGTCTGACAAGCCGGCGCTGTGAAGCATTTCGGCGCCCGAGGGCAACGAGGGCCACGGTGAATGGACGAAAAAATGTAGGGAGGAGGAGGAGGAGGAGGAGGAGGAGGAGGAGGAGGAGGAGGATAAGGAGGAGATGGGAAGACACAGGAGAGGAAGCGCCGGGCCACAGGTCAGCTGAAAATCTTCAGGAAGCGCAGCACCCCTCGCGCGCGGGCGGGGGGGAGGCAGCGCACCCGGGCCTGGCCCCCCGGCGCTGCGATGGCCCTCTCTGCAGTGCGCGGGGCCCCAGAGAGGCCACTGGCCCTCGGCTAAGCAGCGTCGAACTGATCCCTGTCCCTGAGATTGCAAAGTCCTCCTCCTCCTCCTCTTCTTCCTCCTCCTTCTCCTCCTCCTCCTCCGCCTCCTCCTCATCCTCCTCCTTCTCTTCCTCCTCCTCCTCCTCCTCCTCCTCCTCCTCCGCCCCACGGGCGACGACATTCTTGGGGATATGCGCCCTTAGAACCGGAGGGGATCTTATCAACATCGGCATCGAGGTCGATATGCGCCCTTAGAACCGGAGGGGATCTTATCAACATCGGCATCGAGGTCGGGTGAGAACAGTCCAAGGATGCTGCGGGATATGCTCCATGTTGGTTCAGTCGGGCTGCTGACATGAGGAGCGCAACAAAAAACGAAGCCTCTTTTTGGCACCAGAAGTGCCTGAGGCTCTTCGAGCGGGGCTGGCCATCGAACGTGGCTAAGGATGGGCCGAAGATGACCGAGGAGGCCAGGATGCAGAGGTACCCCTGAGAAGCCGATCATCCCCACTGAAAGTTTTGACCGTATTTCGGCGTCTTGTCTCTTCCTGCCTGGCACGTCGGCCCCCGCCACTCGCGCGAACACATCGCGCGGAGGGCCGCCCCTCAAATGGGCCCACGGAGCAACAGGGGATATGTCGAACCCAATCCCATGCTTCGTGGGGTTTTCGAATGGACCAGAAGTTTGCGGCCCAACCACAGGATATACGATAGGGGGGCGCCCATCCCCGATAGGGGTACGTCCGAATAGCCCCCCCTGGGGTGTATCCCAAGGTGTCCCTCCCTCTCTGAACGGCTTCATGTTTTGTCGAAAAGTCGGGTGCTGGGGGGAGAACAATCGCCTGTGACAGTGTCAGCCCATCGCGCTCGACTACGTTGGGGAGTGACACGGACGGGTCCTGCCACGATCGCATTCTGGAGAGGACGACGCGAAGCCGTGGACGAGAACGGACAGGAAACGGAAGGGGAGCGGGAAGGACCAGGACTAGCCCCCTTAGGGTGTATCTCGGGGTGTCACTCCTTCTCTGCACGGCCCCATTGTTCGTCGAAAGTCAGGGGCTGGGGGAGAACCATCGCCTGCGACAGCGCGGCCCGAGACGCGGTCCTCGAAGAGTTTCTGATCCGGGTCAACACCATTTCCAGGCCAGCCAGGCCCTGCAGGATCCAGCCGAACCCTGCAGGATCCTGCAGGATCCTGCTCCCAAGCCCGGGCCTGTGGGGTTTCGGGGCCACCGCTGTGGGAATGAGCGCCTCTGGCTCATGTACCTGGATAGCCGCACCTCTGGACGGAGGCAACATGGCAGGGAGCCGAGTGCTGCCGCCACCGCTTTGGCTCTATAGGCCGTTCCTCGCCCACTCGTTGGCTTTCTCGAGACTTCCCCAAGTCACTCCACATTCGGGCGTTGGTAGAACTGGGTTTAGTGGAACCTGGTTTTGGTGATCTGCACCGGGGGCGCCCCCCCCGTCCCATTTCCACTAACCGGAACTGCCGTCACCCGAAAAAACACCTGCCACGGCCGACCTGGTTTAGCGATTCTAGCCAATTCAAAGGCTCCGGGGCCCTACCACCAATATGGGGCCCCCTTACCCGGGGTCCTGGCCATACCCGACACATCCCCTTGCCCTGCAGGATCATGCAAGACCCGGCGCTCTGACTGACCCCCGCTTGCACGGACCCCCCTTCCTTCCGCCCCCGAGGCCCGAGCGCGCGCCGGACCCGCCCGGGCCCACCGCAGGGGCCTCGCTGCGCGATCGACGCCCCGCCGGCCACCGGCCGGGCCGCGGGGGGGGGGGGCTGCTCGGGGCGGGGCGGAGCAGCGCCCCCAGGCCTCTGGCGCTGCGTGCTCGACTACGCAGAGGCCTCCGAGATGGGGTCGGAGCAGATGGGGTCGGAGGATCGCACCGCATCGCCGATACCTCGGCGATGCATCGTCGACGTCGGCGGTGCATCGGCGACGTCGACGTGAAGCAAATCGGGCTGCACATCGAGCCGCATCGGCGATGCATCGGCGATGCGACGCGATCCTCCGACCCCATCCACTACCCCATCCAGGAGGCCTAGAACCATAGGCCCCTTGTTACTCATCGCTCCGGGGGCCGACTTCGGCCAGTCTTCGGACGGTCTGCGGCGGCCTTCGACGGTCTTCTGACGGTCTTCGGCGGTTCCCGGCGGTCTTTTGGCGGTGCGGTTTGCAGCGGTATTCGGCGCGAACGCTGGACGGCTGCGTTCGGCAAGGGGTCCATGATCGAACACCTAGCCAACGTACTGAGAAGACCCAGACAAGCATTTTTCACCGTTTTCGGCCTCTGGGGACCCTTGCCGACCTGGGGACAGCCAAACAACGACTCAGGATGAGAAGCCGACCCCAAGGAATCCTCTCCTCCTCGTCTCCTCCTCCTCCTCCTCCTCCTCCTCCTCCTCCTCCTCCTCCTGTTCGTCATCTTCCCCCTCCTCTTCCTCCTCCTTCTCCTCCTCCTCCTCCTCAGCATCAGCATCAGCATCAGCATCAGCATCAGCATCAGCATCAGCATCGACATCAGCATCAGCATCAGCATCAGCATCAGCATCAGCATCAGCATCAGCATCATCATCATCATCATCATCATCATCATCTTCATCATCATCATCATCATCATCATCGTCCTCGTCCTCGTCCTTGTCCTCGTCCTCATCCTTCTCATCATTTTCAATCCTCTCCTGTCCCCAAATCATCAAGGGCAGCCGACAATCACCGAACAGCCTCTTCCCCCTCCCTCCTCGAACAGCTGCCGTCATAAGGGGCCACCGGGGCCCCGCTCCCATCAGCACACCCACCCATGAAGTCGTCGTCGGCACTGAAGGGGGCCGAGGCCCTCCCGACTGTCCCTCGGCCAGCGAAGGCGGCCGCAGGGAGGGGTGCTCGCGTACCTCCACGAATCCGACCTTCATACCGGAAGGCGCCAATTGCCACCATCCAGTGTTTTCCTACAGTCGGCCTTGATTGGACAGGACACGCGAGAGGACACAAGACCCTTCCGAGGGCCACATCGCCATTGGGGTGTAAGAAGGCACGTGTCGCGGGGCACAGGACACAAGGGTACCCTTGAGCTGGCAGGGTCGACCTACTAATCTGGGCCGACTGTACCTCCCTCCCTCTCTCCATCCTCCCTCCCGCCCCATACCGCCCACACGGCGCGCGGTCCAGCGCGCGAGGGACAGAGCGCAGGAACGCAGCTTCTGCACGGAGGGCTCCCGCCGACCTGAGCAAACTGCGAGAGGGGGGCCCCCGGAGAGAGCGCCAGCCCTGGAGCGCGAGAACAGCTCGGGCCGGGGCGTGGCAGCACCGAGCGGGGGATTGCTCTTGCTGCGGCTGGGCCCTCACCAACCAGCGCCAAGTTGCGAGGAGAGCTGGGCGAGAGCGCCGACTCCTAAGCCCGAGGGTGTCTCTGGCGGGGGCGTCTCACGTGCCAGGCGGAAGCCGTTGCCGTCGCAGCTGGGCGCTCGGCAGCACAAGATCTGGAACTGCGGACCAACATGGACCGACGACTGCTACTCTCTCAGACTCATTGTTCGACCACGACGACGACGAAGACGACGACGACGACGACGACGACGACGACGACAACGACGACGACGGCGGCGGCGGCGGCGGCGGCGGCGGCGTCTGCGGCTTCATCGGCGCGGCGGCGGCGGTACGGCGGCGGCTGCAGCCGCGGCCGCGGCCGCGGCGCGACATCGGGTTCGCCGAAGAGGGGGGCCAGGAAGCTGGGGTGGCTGGGGCATCATGGCCCGAAGCACGTGCGCCAGGCCGGCGGCGGGGGGGGCACTGAATGCCACGAGAGGCGCAGAAGTGGAGGCCATGGAATCTGGGAGATCTCGTGGCCCTGGCCATGACATCCGCACCCCCGTGGTCCTCACGCCCCTCCTCGACGCCTGATGGCTCTTGGGCCATGCCTCGAGAAAACTGGCGGCCCACCGGGAAGGTCGGGGGCAGCCCCCGGAAAGCCCTCGACGGGGCGCAGCTGCTGGAGGGCGTCCCGCGGCGAGAGGGCCTCCAAGAACCAACGATCGCTCCCTCCGAGGACCACCGAGAACGCCCCCCTCCTCGACGCGGCGCAGCTGCTGGGAAGCGCCCCGAGGCGAGAAGACCTCTCAAAACCAACGATCTCGCCCTCCGATGACCAACGAGAACGTCCCCCTCCTCGTCCTGCTCCTCCTCCTCCTCCTCCTCCTCCTCCTCCTCCTCCTCCTCCTCCTCCTCCTCCTCCTCCTCCCTCCCTCCCCCCTCCCCCTCCTCCCCTCCCCCTCCTCCTCCTCCTCCTCCTCCTCCTCCTCCTCCTCCTCCTCCTCCTCTCCTCCTCCTCCCCTCCTCCTCCTCCCCCTTCCCCTTCCTTCCACCCCCCTCCTGAACGCCCCCGACTGCAGCGAGGGCTTCGACCACCGGCGGCGGCGAGGCGCCTAGGCGCGAGCAGGCCGGGCAGGGCCCCGCGCGCAGCGCCGAGCCCTCGGCGCAGCCCTCGCAGAGGCAGAGGTGCCCGCAGGGCACGGTCGCATGCGTCGCCTTACCAGGGGGGCCCGTGCTGTGGCCGCGGTCGAGGGCTCGAGGATCGAAGTCCGCTCTGTGTCGTCTTCCCCTCCGCCTCCTCCTCCACCCGCCTCCTCACCCTCCTCCCCAGCCTGGTCTTCCCTCCTCCTCCTTTCACTCATGCCTCCTCGTCCTCCTCTTGTATATTTTATCTTAAGGAATACGGATGTTATGAATATTAGTCGTATTGCCAATCCTAGTATGAGGATCTTCATATTATGATGCTTCGTCTCCCTCCTCTTCCTCCTCCTCCTCTTTCTCTTCCTCTAAATTCGCATTATTTTGTTGATTGGTCTTAATGGTCGCATTATTATTTTTCCTCCCTCCTCCTCCTCCGCCTCTTCCTCCTCCTCCGACTCCTCCTCTTCCTCTTCCTCCCCCTCCTCGTCCTCCCTCCTCCTCCCTCCTCCTCCCTCCTCCTCCTCCTCCTCCTCCTCCTCCTCCTCCTCCTCCTCCTCCTCCTCTTCCTTTTCCTCCTGCGTCCTGCGCCTCCTCCGTACCCCTACCCCTGCCAACTCCTCCTCCGCCTCCTTCTCTTCCTCCGCCTCCTCCGCCTCCTGCTCCTCCTTCACCTGCTTCCACCTCATCCCCATCCTGATTCGTTGTTGGTACATGCTCCAACCCTGCCCCCGAGCCGGCCGATGGCATCCAGATCCGCTGCTGTCCGAAGTGCTTTCTCGTCTCAACATGGATCCTCTGTCCTGCGTGTTGCGACATGCCCACAGCAGGAGCGGGACGGGGCCCCCAGCCCGCGCGGAAGGCCGAAAGGTCGCCTCGGCGCCGCGCTCGCGGTTCCGGAGACCTGCGCTCCCGCCCTGGCGGGCGGATGCTTCTTCCATGGCATGTCGCCGACGCGCGCGCGGGCGAAGGTGATCGCCCTCGCCTCGGCGCCCCGCGCAGCTTCCACGCGAGAGGCGGCGCTGCCGCCTCGACGCGGCGCACAATTATTCTCCACTCGCACACTTGGAGGAGGCCGGCCGGGGGCCGCGCGCAGCGGGCGGCGTGTCGCCCATGGCCCTCGCTCCGGGGCACGTTCCGAGCAGACGTGGCGCTCCAGCGCGGGCGCAGCGCTTGGAACGTTCTCCTTCGCAGAAGGCATCTATACACCACCACCGTGCCAAGGCAGGGCCATCCTGGGCCCCAGGATGGTGTATACGCCCTCCTGGCCTAGGCCAAGAGGGTCTATACACCATCCTGGGGCCCAGGATGGCCCTGGCATGGCACGGTGGTGGTGTATAGATGCCTTCGTCGGTTCTCCGAAGCACATGGAAGGCGACGGCGGCAGCGGGGACGCGCGACAGCGGGCGAAGTGCCGACGACCTCGCCCAGGCGCCGCGCAGCCTGTGAGTGAAGGTGGCCGTGCTGTAGCAGCGCGGCGCATGCTTGGTCGTCACCGCGCCCACCGGAAGTTGTACCGCTCCCGCCCCTGCGCAGCCCGCGTGACTTGTTTTTCGCCAAAGTCGTCGGAGGCGGGGCCGCGCGCGAGGCCGTCCGTTTGAGAGGTGGGAGCTCGGCCCACTTCCAATATCAAGTTGTGCCACTATTGTTTCTTATGTTCTGAGGTGGAGGGTGGGAGCAGGTGGGACCTCTGACTCGCTCGACCTGGCTAATTTGACTCCTGCTCCCTCCTCCTCATCCTGCTCATCCTCCTCCTCATCCTCCTCATCATCCTTTGCCCTCTCCTCTTCCTCATCCACCTCCTACTCCTGCTCGTGGGGGTGAGGCCCTCCTACTCCTCTGTTCCACCTCATCATCCTCCATGACCATCATCATCGCGATCACCACCATCATCATCCTCATCCTCATCCTCATCCTCATCCTCATCCTGATCATCCTGATCATCATCATCAGCAGCATCATCATCATCATCACCAGCAGCATCACCAGCAGCACCATCTTCATCATCAGCACCACCACCACCACCACCGTCACCATCACCATCACCATCATCATCATCATCATCATCATCATCATCATCATCATCATCATCATCATCATAATAATCAACCTCATCAGCATCATCATCAGCATCATCAGCATCGTCACCGTCATCATCATCATCATCATCATCATCATCATCATCATCATCCACATCCTGATCATCCTGATCATCATCATCATAATCATCATCACCAACAGCATCATCTTCATCATCATCTGAACCACCACCACCACCGTCACCATCACCATCACAATCACAATCATCATCATCATCAGCCTCATCATCATCATCAGCCTCATCATCAGCATCATCAGCATCATCAGCATCGTCGCCGTCATCATCATCAGCAGCAGCAGAGTCATCATTGTCGTCGTCCTCATCATGAGCAGCAGCATCATCAACAGCATCAGCAGTATCATCATCAGCATTATCATCATACTCATCATCAGCAGCATGATCATCAGCAGCATCGGCATCATCATCTTCAAGGTTCTCGTGATTCATCTTCATCTCCATTTTCATACTCACCATTCTGATTTTCATCCTCATCATCGTCACCCTAAGATTCATCCCCGTAATCATCATAATCAGAATCATCGTCCTCATCATCAGCAGCAGCATCAGCAACAGCATCAGCAGCAGCATCAACAGCATCAGCATCACCATCAGCATCGTTAACATTGTCAGCAGCACCATCGTCAGCAGCCGCATAAGCATAATCGTCAACATTCTCAACAACATCACCCTCATCGTCACCCCCGCACAACCACAATCAGCATCATCATTCTCATCACCAAAGCCACCACCAGAACCACCATCGTCATCATCGTCATCAGCATCATCGTCGTCGCCGTCGTCGCCGACGTCGCCGTGGTCGTCGTCGTCATCGTCGTCATCATCGTCAACGCCATCACCATCACCATCAATGTCATCACGATCATCATTATCAAAATAGTCGTTCTCATCATCCTCATCCTCCTCCTCATCATCAGTATAAGTAACATCGTCAGCAGCATCATCATGATCTTCATCATCATCATCATCACCATCATCATCATACTCATCATCATCACCATCATCACCATCATCATCATCATCATCATCGTCATCAGCCTCAGCATCATGACCATCATCAACATCATCATCATAATCATCATCATCATCCCCTATCCCCGGTGGTCAGCGTTCAGGCTGCTCCGGCGAAAAAGGAGCTCATTCTTTATGGTGGGTGTCTGAAGAAGAAGAAGAAGCAAGCATACTGGTATTCTCGTGACTGCGTTGCACGTCCTTGCTCACGAGCTTTATACTCGGGCCCTGGGTCGTAGTGCTGACCTTAGTCAGTTCCTCTCTGGGGCTCTGGGTCGCAAACTCTCTCGGCTCTCGGCCTCTGTTGTGACCGGGGGCTGTGCATCCATTATTTGAATGCTGCTCTCATTGGTCCTGTCATTGAACTCGGCGAACTCTCTCATCTGGGTCTGTCCACCTCTTCGTTCCCTCCTGGGAAACCAAAAGGCACCGATTCCGCTACTCCTCAGACCTCTCCAAGCCTGACCTCTCCCAGGGTGCGTGATGACCAGAACTTCGAGGCACACCCAGCGGTGGCGACGAGGGCCCGCTGGGAGGCCAAAAAAGGGGAAAACGAGGAATGGTTGCGGTTTGGGTCTCTTTCCCCTATCTGACCTCCTCCTCCTCCTCCTCCTCCTCCTCCTCCTCCTCCTCCTCCTCCTCCTCCTCCTCCTCCTCCTCCTCCTCCTCCTCCTCGTTTCCCTCCTCCTCCCGCCGCCGCTCCGCCCCCGGAGGCCGCCGCCGGCGCACCCTCGGAGGACGTCCGGAGGCCACCGCAGAGGCCTGCGGAGACTCCCCCCGAAGGGCCCCCACGCGCCGGTCGCTGCCTCCGTCGGGCCGGCCGGCTCCCGGCGCCTGGGAGACCTCGCACGTCACGCACAGGTCGTGCCCGAGCGTCTGGCACCACGCGTCCGCCACCGCGCACGAGCCCCCATCGACCTGCCGGAGGAGGAGGAGGAGGAGGAGGAGGAGGAGAGGAGGAGGACGAGGAGGAGGAGGAGGAGGGTTGAAGATCGAGGGGAGGGGAGTGGGGAGTAGCGAGGATGATGGGGATTGAAGATCGGGGATCCCAGGGGAGTGGTGAGGAGGAAGAGGAGGATGAGGATGAGGAGGACGGCGACGATGAGGACGAGGACGAGGAGGAGGAGAGGGAGGAGGAGGAGGAGGAGGAGGAGGAGGACGACGAGGAGGATCGAGGGTCGAGACGTCTGGCGTTTTTGTCGTCTTGCTCGGCCTCTGGGGGCGCGGGGGCGCCCTCGTCGCCACGGCCGGCTCCGTCCCAGTCCCGGTCAGAACGCACCCCTGGACAGGTCTGGGGTCTGGTGGTCGAGCTCTGAGGAGGGGGCGGGAGAGGAGGAAGAGGAGAGAGGTGGACGAGCTGGTCACCTGCCTCCCAAGCCGATCACTGCGGCACTCACATCTTGATCCATCATCGTTGCAACGCGTCTGGTGGACTGCGTTGACTGCATCACGGGCGCACTAGGCGCACCACCATAGCTCTTTAAGTGCTCCTGAAGAGCACTCAAAGAGGGGGACTCAAGCCGGATTGGCCCCAGGGGCCCAATCCAATCTGCCAGTCTGGCCTTCGACTACCAAGTCTTCTGCCTCTGCGCCCACAGGATGCACGGCCCACTGACCTGACCTCCCAAACCGACAGCTGGTCGATTGCTTGCCGTTGGCACGCCTCGTAGAATGAGCCGCCAGCACCGCAGGCCCCGTTCAGGGCCAGCGGGCCAGCACGATCGCGACGCCTTCCTGAGCTGGCCGCTGCGCGGCGCGCGGGTGCCGACGGGGAGTCGCTTGACTGCCCCGATACGCAACACGCAAACCGTAGCGTACTGATACGAAGGTCAACACGTGGACTGAACTGAAAACGTGAGTATCACGCGGCATGTTCGCAAGAGCGCGGGCCAATACGCTGAGTCAAGACGCAGCGTACTGAAACGGAACCAGTGCGTATTGCGCTTCGAAACGGGCGTGTCGAGGCAGCGCTAAGGAGTGGAGGAGCCAGCCAACTGGAGAGTCGGAGAGACAGCAGAGGACGAAGGAGGAGGTCGGAGGGTCCTATCGTTCGTTCTAGCTCGCAGAGTCCAGGTCCGAATGAGGGCACTCATACGAAGCACCTCTTACTGGTAGGAGGGTTCTCCGAGGTTTCTCCGAGGTTTCCAGTTGGACTCGGCAGGTGCTCCCACAGGTGTGCACCGGGCGGCTTCTCAGCCGCCAGGGGGATGAGCGAGCGAGCAAGCGAGCGACAAAACGAGGGTCGATTGGAATCACGACACGCCCCCCTCCCCCTCCTCGTACCCACCCCCCTCCTCCCTCCTCCTCCTCCTCCTCCTCCTCCTCCTCCTCCTCCTCCTCCTGCTCCTGCTCCTGCTCCTCCCTGCTCCATCCTTCCTCATCCTTCCTACCTGGCACCCCGCGTCGGTCACTGCGCACGCTTCCCCTCCCCGTCGGCCTCCCCAAGGGGTCTCGGTCGTGCTTGGCACTGCGGCACTATGTGCGCCGTCTTGGATGGAGGAGGGCGGAAGAGGAGGGGGCAGGAGGAGGGGGGAAAAGGACGGAAGGAGGGGAGGGAGTGGGGGAAGGAGGAGGAGGAGGAGGAGGAGGAGGAGGAGGAGGAGGGCGGAAGAGGAGGGCGGAAGAGGAGGGGGGAAGGAGGAAGGAGGGGGGAAGGAGGAGGAAGGAGGAGGAGCAGACTCTAGAAGAGAAGTGTCTATCTCTCTCTCTCTGTCGTGTTTTCGTGACGGGGGACTGGCCGTCCCACCGTCGACCTCCCTAGGGGGGAGGGGCAGACACGAGGGGAGAGGCGGCGCCTCCCCTCCACCTGCTCCGTCGCCTCCGCCCTCCATGTCTTCCTCCCTCCGCAGAGCCTGGGACACACACAGTGAAGCAGGCGATATGTCGACCCCTGTCCCAGGATTCGTGCGGATTTCACATGAGCAAGAAACTTGGGGCCCAACCCTGGGATATACGATGGGAGGGGGCGTCCATCCGCGATAAGGGGTGCGTCCAAATAGCCGCCTTGGGGTGTATCCCAGGGTTCCCCTCCTTTTCTGAGCGGCTTCATGTTTGGTCGAACAATCGGGGGGTGGGAGGAGACAAACCGCCTGCGGCAATGTCAGCCCATTGCACTCGACTACGTGGGGGTGCGACACGGACGGGTCCCGCCACGATTAAAACCTGAACGTCGCATCAGAGGACGACCAAAAAGCCGTGGACAAGAACGGACAGGAAACGGAAGGGGAACGGGAAGAACCTAGCATCCCCTCACGTGAAGGCTGGCGCGGCCTCGTGCTTCAGGCTACGGCGAACTTATGGGGGGGCACCCTCAGCCCCCGTTCCCATGCCCGACTGTCCATGCCAAGTTCGAAGCCGTCCGAAGCCATCGTCCGAGGCCCCCTGGACAAGCCCCCCCCACACACAGCTTCCCCCAGACGCCTCCGCAACCCCATGAACCCACTGCACTTCAAACGTCCGAAACCATAATAGTCCCCCCCCTTGGACGGAGGGTGGGCAGAAAGAGGGCGCCAAAGAGAAAGAAAGAGATGGAGGAGGGAGCCGACCTCCTTCGCCGTGTTCGCCAACGCGACCTCCTTCGCAGGAGGGGATTTGATCCGTACCCACATCCTCGCAGTCCGTTCCCTTTGCGTGTCGACACGCCAGCCAATGCGTCGATATGCCTCGATGTGGATGCCGTAGGGGCTGAGTGTATCGAAGATACGGTATCCACGCCCTTGCTTATCCATGCCCTCGCCAGCTGATGCCCACCATGGTCAACTCCAGAACGCATGAATCATATGTCTGGCACCGTGTCCCCCCCTCCTCTTGAGAGACCCACGTTTCTCGCCTGCTAGTGGGGTTAACCTCTGGGGGGTCGGGCAAGGGTGAGCTTAATTCTTTGGATGCTCACTTTTCGTGGCCGCACTTGTTGAAGACAAGCGCTCATGGGCTCTTACCCCGCAATCCTTTGGCAATGAATCGCTCGGGCCAACATGTTTCTGAGATGGTTTTCTTTAGCTCCCCCTGCGCTGACTCTGACCCCCGTTATCAGGCGACTGGCCGCGAGCTCCTGCAGGCACTCCGCCACGTTGTGCAGGTCCAGCTTGGGCCGGTTGCTGGGCGAGACCCGCCGGTTCACGAGGCGGAAGCGCGTGCCGCGGCGGTCCGCGGCGGACGGGGTCCTGAGGCGAAGGGGGGGGGTCCTTGAGCTGCGGGCGGCGCAGGTTCTTCACACTGGGCGTGTTCGCCCGGCTCCCAGGGCCCATCGAGCCACGACAAAAATCCTCTGGGGGCCCTTACCAGTGCTCGGGACCATCCAACGACTCGGGGTGAACAGAGAAACGCCCAAGGGAATGGGTCGTGACCTTTCGGGGCAGACGCTATGCCGCTATGAGAACAACAAAAAAAAACGTGACGTCGGGAGCGATCTAGCTCGACAGATGCGATCTAGCTCGACAGGGCCCCAGGACCCTCACAGAGCGATCTAGCTCGACAAAGACGGGGTCTGGGGCTCCAGTCGCGTATTGCTGCGAGGTCGCACTGCTTTCGCAGCGTCGGATCTCAGGGGGGGCAGGCAGGGGCCAACACTGCTGGGCTGGGCAAACGAACTGGCAGGCTGCTCTCAGAGATCGGCCCTCGAGCAGCAGCATCCCAACCAGGCGCAGAGCGCTGATTCCGGAGCGGGTGTCGCTAGAAATGCCCCTGGCCGAAGGTGCCCCCATGAGTTCCAAGGAGGCCCTAACAGCCTCCAGAGAACCCCTAACGAGGCCCAGAGGGCCCCCGGGCGTCCAGAATCGAGCGAACAGCTGGGCACACCCTGGCCCAGGGGGCACCTCTGGCAAACCCCGACTGGGGTGCCTCTGGAAGGTAGTGTTGCATTAGGCTCGTCGGCAGAGCAGCACCGCCGAGGCCGGAGCCAGAGAGGCAGACGCACTGCACGTTGCAGGTTCGGCATCCCTTGGCGGCGCACACAAGGGGGTGGAGGGAGGGGGGAGGGCTTCTTAGAGGGAGGCTGCTTCTTAGAAGGCGCCGGCCTTACATCTATAGAGAAGGCCCGCGCCTTCTAAGAAGCAGGGGTGCTTCTAAGAAGCCCTCCCCCCTCCCCCCACCCCCCTCTGCGCGTGGCTGAATCCCTCCTCGGGATGCCCAGGTCGAAGCCCGCGAACACCTCGAAGACGCAGTCCGCGGCCTTCCTGCAGAGCGGGCACTTCGCCATGGCGCCCGCGGGGGCCCGCTGCCTGCCGCCGCACGAGGCGCACACGCAGAGGTGCCCGCAGGGGGAGAGCGCGTGTGTCCTGGCCGCGGGGGGGGCCAAAACAACGGGCGAGAGGAGGGGGAGGAGGAGGAGGAGGAGGAGGAGGAGGAGGAGGAGGAGGAGGAGGAGGAGGAGGAGGCAGCACGCAGGAGCGCCTCCCAGCAAGAGCACGCATGCGGCGGCTCGCGCGCCCAGGCTCGGCCAGCCCAGAAGTCGCACGGGAGGGAGGCGGGCCGAAGCTGCTGGGCGGCGCTGCCCTCTTCCTGGGCCTCCAGGAGCCCCCGGAGAGACCACTGGACATGTCGCTGCCGCCGTGGGAGGGCGCCGCCCAGGGCGCCGAGGGCAGGCGGGCCCAGGCGCGAACGGGCTCCCTCCTCCGCCAGGTGCGCCGCGCCCCACCTCCGAAGGGGCGCAGCTCCGGCCCAGCAGACCAGCTCGCTGGCGGCGAAGCCCGCGGCGGGCCACGCCAGCCAGGCGCGAATTGCGACGTCGCGAGCGCGCCCTGTCAGCCCAGGCGCTCGCCCAGGTCTCGCCTCGGGACTCATGCGAGCGCCCGCGGTGTCACTGTTAAGAGCGAACTTCAGCAGCAGCCTGGTCACCTGCGGCAGCGCTCCCTGGCGCCTGGGACCTCATTCCGTCGGCCATGGGGGGAGGTGTCCTCCACCAGACCACTGCTGCGGCATCAGCCTCCGCTCTGGGGTGGGCAGTATCGCACGCGGTCCTCAATAGCGCCGACGGGATGGATGTCCCGTAGACGCCCGCCGCGGTGGCGAGGATGTCCCCCCGCACCCCCGCCCGTGCTACCCGGATATGAAATAGGAAAATGTCAGATTCGTCTGCTGCGATACTCCAAAACATCCACTTGAACTGAGACAATGGAACCGGTCATCGCATGCCGTGGCGGACGGCTCGAAATCAGGATGCGGATGGCACCGCTGCGAAAAGCCAAAACGCCAAACTGACCGCCAAACACTGGAAACACCCGAAGGGGTGCATCCGTCAATAGAAGAAGTCACTCACCAGCACCCGATGAAACGCTCAGAAAACACCATGAAGAAGAGGTAGCAGGATACCCGTAACCAGCCATAAATAAATATCAGTTTTTTGTTGCGAGACACTGCGAACAAGACCTGAATGAAGAAAACGATGTCAGACAAACGCAAACTTTAGACATACATTCATTGAACAAATTGGATGTACAGGGAAGGCTGAAGACCCGTTAAAGGCGGCCAGTACGCAAGCAGACGCAGACAGCATTCAAAACAAAACCCTCATAATGCTTGCCCGTCATTACGAACGCCGTAATGTCGAAGAAGCCCAGACACTCACCAAAGTAACTATCATGTTCCGCTTGTCTAGAAAACGTACCAATGGCGGTCCACCCCAAGTCCTGGGTACGATTGCCCCTACCAGGCAATGTGATCTTCATCTTCTTTGCGAACGGCAGCAAGTCGCTGAGCTCATCATGTCCGTGATGGTCCGAAAGCCACCGACACGAGAAGCAAGCTGCATCGTTAACCACTACTCACTGGCTCTCCTGCGATCCGGCATAAAGTTCATGACGTTGAGGTCGGCCACTAAAAACTACACTTCGAGTTGGCCGCAAGACCCATAGTACATGTCAACTTGGACGTTCATATACGAAAAGGTGCTGAAATAAACCGACTCTGACAGCGCACGGAGACTGAACAGTATGCAAACTCAGCTCAACCTGCACCTGTGGTTTGAACATTCTGGGTGCAACCACTGAGCTCCATGCCCCTGGACTTTGTCTGACGTGAAAGCAGGAGACTGCGCAAGCACCGTTGCCAGCACGATACGAAGACAACACCCTTCAGGATCGAAACATTGGCAAATGTAATCGCTAGTAAAAAAGATACAGGCCTCGGAAAACATTAGCGAACACTCATGCCACATTCATCTGTGAACGCCTCCCCCTTCCCCCAATGTTCAAAGTTGGCGGTGGGGGGCAGGGGGGGTGTTCACTAATTGTTTCCCTCTACCGTAGTGCCATCGCACCTCATTGCTGCCCCAGGCAATAAATCATCATTCAAAATTCGACCGGCCACGCGTGAGCCACTCCACAGCGCGGATAAGATGACACGGTGACCGCAGTGTGGCAGGCGCTCGGGCTCGCCCTCTTTCGGGCGCCCTGGATCGCGCTTTGGTCCCGGACGCACGGACTGTGAGAACAGTATGCGCATGGATGTGCTCCATAAACTGTGTAACACACCATACAGCAAGCATTGAGCATTGAAGCCGTTACCATCGTTCGGTCCACCAGTGTGTTCACGGCGAGAGAGTTTGCTGAGACCCGGCCGCAGCAGCATGCTTCGTAAGAAGATGATAATGATGATGATGATGATGATGATGATGATGATGATGACGATGATGACGATGGTGGTGGTGATGACGATGATGACGATGGTCGTGGTGATGATGATGCTGAGCTGACGATTATGATGCTGCTGACGTTGATGATGTTTAATGAAGACAATGACGATGACGATAACGCCGACGACGACGAGGACGGCGAAGACGACGAGGGGGCAGGGGGAGCTTTGGGAGAGGAGGAGCGGGCGGCGAAAAGGAGCAGAGGGGAAGATGGGAAGAGGAGGAGGGGAGGTGAGGGATGTACACGTCCTTCATTTCTGATCGTGCTCGTTTCTAAGTGCGCTCGTTCCTAACTGGTCCTGGCCCCCTCTAGTGGCCAGGAAGAGGCCCAGGACTGAACAATCAGAACTGAGAGGATCCCGGCCCCCAAACAAAAATCGAAGAGCTCTCGAAGAATTAGACACGACACACACACACACACACACACACACACACACATATATATATATATATATATATATATATATATATGACGCAGCAGGGAGCAGAGAGGCGGGCGAGCGGCAGAGCCGGGAGGCCGGAGAGCGGGGAAGAGTGCTCTCCGCGGCCGGCGGCCGCGGGCACGCTGCAGGGCAGGGCGCGCGCAGGCCGCAGAGGCAGGCCCGGGTGCACCCCGACGACCACTTGCACCGGAGGGTGGGCTTCGCTAGGTGGCCACATGCGAACCCTACCCCTACCCCCCTCAGAAATCGTTGGGGGTAGGGGTAGGGTTCGCATGTGGCCACCTATTCGTTTCCATGGGGGTTTCATGGAGCGCACAGGGAAGTACTAATCCTATAGGTCCTCCTCGGAGGCGCGCGTCCGACCCGAACATATGGTATGCCCGTCTTGCAGTAATTAGATCGTTTCCCGAGCGGTGTGGCCAGACAGCGCCCGCCACGACGCACATACTAGCTAGAAGATTTCTCGGTGCGCGCGGCGCCCCTGGGAGGGGGGGCGACGAACATACAGTATAGGTATGTTGGGGTGACGCCGACTTAAGAGCAGGGCAGAGGGAGGCCGAGCAGGTTCGATAGAAGGGGGGAGAGATCGGCGCAGGGGGGGGAGAGATCGGCGCAGGGGGGGGAGAGATCGGCGCAGGGGGGGGAGAGATCGGCGCAGAGAGATCGGTTCATGGAACGCACAGAGAAATACTAATCCTATAGGTTCTCCTCGGAGGCGCGCGTCCGACCCGAACATGTAGTATACCCGTAAGTATATCGTTTCCCGAGCGGTGTGGCCAGACAGCGCCCGCCACGACGCACATACTAGAAGATTTCTCGGTGCGCGCGGCGCCCCTGGGGGGGGGGGGGGGGGGGGGGGCGACGACCATACAGTATAGGTATGTTGGGGTGACGCCGACTTAAGAGTAGGGCAGAGCTTAGTGGGCCCTGGAAACGACAAGGCCGTTTTTTTACCGGTTCCGTTTTGCCGTTTTTTTACCGGTTCCGACGCCGTTTTTTCACCGGTTCCGTCGCCGTTGTTTTACCGGTTCCGGCTCCGGTTCCAATCCTGGAACTGTTTTTTGGCCGTTTCCGGTCGCCGTTTTTTTGCCGTTTCCATTTTCAATAGACATCTTCCTGGAAACGTTGAAAAAAAAACGGCCCTGGCGTTTCCGGGGCCCACAGAGGGGCAGAGGGAGGCTGAGCAGGTTCGACAGAAGGGGGGGAGAGATCGGCTCAGGGGGGGAGGCCATCGACCTGGAGTCGGCGATGCCGCGCCGAGAGATCGGCGATGGGCCCCCGAGGGCAGGTCCGCAGGCTCCCGGGCGAAGTGGGCCGTCGGGCCAATCGGCGAGCAATCCCTGGGCGACTGGGGGTCGGTGCGTCTCACCTGATCCTATACCCCCTAGCCATGAACTTGAAAGGCAGGAGGAAGGAGAAGGGAAAGCACGAGGAGGCAGGAAGCGTCGTGATGGGATACCAGAAGGGGAGAAAGGGCAACAAAGCAAGGGCGGCGAAAAGGTAAGTGGCAGAACAGCGAATTACGTGTTGCTGATTTTCCTGGCACCTCGAGGCACCAGAAGCGACCACGCATCGGAGAGAGTGCCCGCCAGTGAAGCCGAAGCCAGCTTCACGCAGTAGTTTTCTCACCTTGCATTCTCACCCCCGCCTCCCCTCTGACAGCCAGAAGGAGGAGGAGGAGGAGGAGGAGGCGGAGGAGGAGGCGGGGCGGAGGGGGGCGGGGGCAGACGGCAGACATTGCCCGTCAGGCAGTGCTCACCGGCCTGAACCAGCTGAGGTCATGGATTAGCAAAGTGTTCACCACCACCATGCAAGCCCAAGTAGATATCGCCTCTCAGCCGTTGTAAACCAAAATCTGGCGGCACAGACAAGAACACTCGAAGATCCGCGCGAACTCTCTGGATCGACGCAGGACCCCATCCCCAGCGTGTGAAGAACGCCGGGGGGCGGCGCCAGAAGCACCGCTGGGAGCGCGCCAGGGGGCGGCGCCAGAGGCACCGCTGGGGGGGCCGGGTCCATTGCCAACCCAATCAAGTACGTACGGACCTCCGAAAATTCATACTTTGCGCCGCTGCTTCTCCTTATTCTCGTTCTTATCCGTATTATTCTTCGCATTCGTATGACTCCTTCTGAGTAGCATTAGCATTATTATATTATTATGTTTGTTATTATTATTCGACTTATTGTTATTTTTGGAAGCCGG